ATATCGATAACCTTTCCATCCTTTCCTTGAGACGATGTTAAAGCTATATATATATATATATATTTCCTGCTCTTCTTAATCCCCCCGAAAGCTTTCCTGTGCTTGAGTCGCGCATCACGTACGATATCTGAAAAGAGTTTCAGGTTCGATCGCGTCAATTTCTTTTTTTTTTTTCCTATAGTTCCATCAATCGCCACATCGGTTTATAGTGTTTTTGAAAGAGTAAAATTGCACTGCAGAGAATGAAGAGACAGATATCTCATATATCCAATGCTATTTAATCGTCCATTTTGTGATGGAAAAGCTGGAAAAGTTATCGTCGATAAAGTAAAATGCCATTGGAATTTAGTAAATTTGTTTCTATTTAAAAAAAATAGTCTATTTTTAATAATTAAAATAATAAATTTATATTATTACAGACTAGTGTTTGATGTATAAGTTGAGAACCCTCTTTGCGAGGAGTGGGGATAGCTCGCAGTGATTGGCGTTCGCACAACACGTGACTTACCCCCACTCCGCGCACTAAGTGTTCTCAACTTAATCTTCAAAGCCAAAACGCTAATCTTACTGCAATAATAATTTAATCACAAATATTATTTCTATTTTTCATAATTTTTAATTTATTGGCATTCGAGAAGATTTTGTTTTCAATCTATTTAATAATTTTTTCAAAAATTTTCATTATATGAAGAAGAAGATGAAGAAGAAGTATATTATTAATTTTTCTTTTCCATGTGAAAATTTTGTAGAATAATGTGAAAATCAGTTGAGTAAGTTGAAATTTTCTGATATATTTTTTTCGGTCTTCCAATTTTCTCATTTTTATTTTTCTTTCAAAAGAAAAAAAAAAAAAAAAAAAACCCTAATAACTTCCTTTTTTTGCAAACCTGCAGTTCTTGACTAAGGTTTGAATGCACGTCTTATTAATAAACCGAATTATCCCCCCCTCCTTTTACTCCTGCTGCCCCTTTCCTCTCAGCTTGCAATCCTCGGCTGAATCCTTCACTATATCTTTAGTCAGCAGACTTTTTCCTCTAGACAGAAAATATATATACATACAGGGAAATTTATATTTGTTTTTTTTTTCTAGAAATAATGAAAAATATTTTTAATTTAATATAATTTTATTTACATATTTTTATAATAATATTATATATTTTTTAAATAGAAAATTAATGTTAATAATAAATAATAATTGATAAGATTTTATTTTTGATAATTAATTTTATTTTAATAATAAAAATAATTAAGATATTGTTATTAAATATTTTTCAATAAATTAATTTTAATAATAAATAAATTAATAATTGATAAGAAAAAAAAATGTACAAAATGTTTAAAAATAGAATATAAATATTTTATACTAGCAATTGAAAATAATTTCTGTCTAAAGTTAAAAAGTAAGAATTGCTTGTAATTCGTAGCTTTTATTATTAATTGATATTATTTATTAATTGTTTAATTTAGTGTAGATAAATTTTTTTTTTTTTTAATTTCTAAGAAGTATTTTGTATATTTAATATAATATCAAAATGTTTAATAAATTTTCTCTTTCTAAATCTTTATTAAACAAAGTTTGTGAAAGATAATTTAAAAATAAAATTGTTTATTTATTTTTTCATAGATTCTCTCCACTGCCAGAAAAGTATTAAGTATATGTTATAAAAATTTTTTTTTTTAATAATTTTTTAACTTCTTTTTAGTAATTATTATTAAGTTAAGTTAGATATTTATATTAGATTTGTAAGATATTTTTTAATACCAAAAAAAAAAAAAATATTTATTAACAAACAGATTCTACATTAGCAATATATTAAAATTAATTAATTAAAATTTGTCCCATAATATTACATAAAGTACAAAAAAAAAGAAACAAAACATTGCAATTATTTTTTTGCAAATGTAGAATCTGAGTTAATACGATTTAATCAGCATTAAAAATTAACGCACAAAAAAAAATTCACACACAAAATAACATTCATAATAATTATAAGTTTTTACACTAATAATAATTAACCATAATGAAAAACACATTTTTGCACACAATTATCTTTGTGCACAAAAAACTAACACAAAAGCTAAACATCATAAAATCAATTATTTATTTAAATTAGTAGACTTTCTTTAAATTTAAATTAGTAAAATTTTTAACTAATTTTAAATTAGTGACTGACTTTTTTCTATAAATTAGTTAAATTTTACTCATTAATTAGTATCAAAAAAAAAATTTTTTTTTACTAATTGATAAAATTTAACAAATTGGAAAAAAAGTCAGTCATTAATAAATTAATTAAAATTTTTGCCTATTTAAATTTAGAGCTGAAAAATGGGATTTTAATATTATTAACAAAATAAACAAACTATTTCTACTAGTTGCATGTTAATAATGGTTTTTTATGCCAAGCAACAAATTTAATTTTAATTATGTTTAATTATAATTTTATTTTTTTAAAAACAGGTTAACAGTGTTTGCATCAATCTAAATGTTTTTTTTTAGAATGCATGTAATTTGTTTATTCAAAGTATCCAAATTTTTTTTTTTGAAATTTTCGTTTAAAATCATTTTATATCTCAATAGAAAAATAAATTATTATTCTATTTATCAATAAAAAAATTAAATTACATAATTAAACAAATAAAGTTATATTAAATTTTTAAACATAAATTGAGAAAAATAAAAGTAAATAATTGCAACAATTGGAAATGAAGTAAAAATTTTAATAATTAATTAATTAATATTTGCAAATTTTTTTATTCATCAAATTCTAATTAATTAAATGAAAAATCATTTTAAACGAAAATTCAAAATCAGGAACTTTGTCTATTTTTGTCTGAATGTAATAATGGGAAATTTGACAAATTAAAGTTGCTTTACAATATTTTCATTATTTGATATTACATTTATAGAATAAGAAACTAATTTAAAAAAAAAATTGTAAAGTAATTTTATTTAATTTTAATATAATTTTCAGTTTTACTTCCAAAACTCACGATTTCAATCGTCAAAAACATTAAAAAATAATTTTATTTTTTATACTTTTACTTTCATAACATAATTTTATCGACATTTTAAAATTTTAGACAATATTTTCTTGATAATATAATCATCTAGATAAGATAATCTAGATAATATTATCTCAGTAAGAGAACAATCTAGTTAAGATCATCTAGATAATATCTCAACAAGATAATCTAGATAATATTATCTCAGTAAGAAAACAATCTAGATAAGATCATCTAGATAATATCTCAACAAGATAATCTAGATAATATTATCTCAGTAAGAGAACAATCTAGATAAGATCATCTAGATAATATCTCAACAAGATAATCTAGATAATATTATCTCAGTAAGAGAACAATCTAGATAAGATCATCTAGATAATATCTCAATCAGATAATCTAGATAATATTATCTCAGTATGAGAACAATCTAGATAAGATCATCTAGATAATATCTCAACAAGATAATCTAGATAATATTATCTCAGTAAGAGAACAATCTAGATAAGATCATCTAGATAATATATCTCAACAAGATAATCTAGATATTATCTTGGAAAGAGATTATCTAGATAAGATCATCTAGATACTATTATCCAGATATCTTCATAAGATAATCTAAATAAAATAATTTAGATAATATTATCTCGATATTTTAATCTGAATAATATTATCTATAGACAGAATTATGTTAAATAATATTATCTAGATAATTTTTAAACGAAATCATAAAAATCCTTTATTGAAAAAAGAAATTTTCTCCTTCTTCATCGTAACATTTTCTAATCCATGTGAAAAATATCTATTTATATATTTGAAACTAAAGAAAAAGTAAAATTAAAAATGAAAATTAAGCCCTTGATGAAAGTCAACAATTCAATATGAAAGTTATAAAGTTAAAAGTTTAAATTGAAAGTTGAAATTAAGATGGAAGTGAGCGTTAAATTGGGGGATGCCTTTGAGTTTATTTTGAAATTGGTCTCTGGGAATAATAATTGTGAGTTTTGAAGGGAAGTAAAACTTTCCAGCACGATTGCACGTAACTCATGTTCTTTCATTATTTCTCTTTGAAATTTCTGTTTCATGCTTGACCTCGCCTGGACGCCGCACGACTTTGAACCAAATGAATGAACATTATTTTCCCGAAAACACATCACCAACGCTTTAATGCTCCAAATTCCAAAATGAATCCCTCTTATCACGCACGAAACCTTCAATCCTGAAAACTGATCCTGAATTGGTAATGATCTCAAAAAAATAATAATAACCTATCTTTAATATATATAATTGATGATTCTCTTAAAAAATTTCACTATCCTGTGGCGATTGTTTACCTTATCCAATATCAAAAAAAAAAAAAAAAAATATTCATTATATCGAAAAAAATGATTAATTAATTTTGTAACTTTTTTTTTCTTTCACCGCGACTTCAATTTTTGCAATTTACCTTTTCCAAAAAAAAAAAAACAATCCTTACCTTTTAATTTCTTTTTTTTGCCACGAAATTTGAAAAAAAAATTAAACACATTTTTAACGGTTGATTAACCAATCAATCGATTGGCGACTGAATAAGAAAATGTCACTTTTTTTTGTCTGAAAAAAAATATTGCGTTTTGTGACATTGGATATACCTACGTTTTTTTTTTTTTTTTTTTGAATATTTTGAATCGCTGGCTTGGTATGTGTGCACTGCCGCCGCATTATTGCCATGCCCGCTCATCACTCGTGAAAAAAAAAAAAATTTTCTGTTAAACGCACCCTGGTACATGGTGGACCAAAACTCTTTTTTTTCAAAATTGGTCATTTTTCCACTGTTGGGGCGCTTTTCCAACGCACAATTTTTTTTTCCTTATGATAAATTTTATTCAATAAAAAATATGAACTATCGTTCAAAACTAAAATATAATTTTTTTTTAAATATATTTTTAATGATTAAATGAAATTTTTTTATCGTTTAAAAAATATTATCAACAAATTTAAAAAAAAAAATTCTTTTCCATAAAAAAAACATATATTTTTGGGCAAAAAACGCTAAACGGTTTTTTTAAAAAAAAAAAAAAATGTATCTTGTGGCAAAAATTGCTTGCTAGGGACAATTTTTCGCAAAATCTCTCTCTGTTGATGCACCGAATTGAACACTTGTTGACGAAAAATTTCATTGGACATGTACCTGGGTGAATCTGAGGCAACGTATATAAAAAAAAAAAAAATTCGTGTGCCGCCTCTCTCTTTGGTTTTTTCGGTGCGTTCCGACCGAAATGGTAATGGATAAACAAAAACTGTACGAACACTGCCTCGTTTGCTGCATGTGGATCGCCTTAGCAGCCTTAGCCACTGTCGGGACCCACGTGGTCCCCCAAAACGCTCACTGTGTCGTCTACACAGACAGCTGCGGACAGGTAGACTCATTATTGTAACCAGTTTTTACCCGGGTGGCGAGCCTGCATTAAGGGACTTTCTCGAATCACCGCCACCACTTGTCATCATTAAAATAAAATGCAAAAAAAAAATATAGAAAAACAAAAAAAAAAAAAATGTCGAATAATCGGTTCCCCCTTTTGCTTTCAATTTTCATGGCACGATTCGAGACCTTAATGCCGGATCGAAACCTTTATGCTGCTAACCTTCAAGATCCAGGAAGGATGCAAAGAATGCAAGACTATTTTTAGTTTTTTAGAATTTTATAAAGAAATTAATACATGAAATATATTTCATTATTATTATTTTTAACTAGCCTCGATTAGTGTTTTTTTGAACGTCAAAGTTGAGAATAATGCGCGGAGTGGGGATAGCGCACCGCCTACTAAGAGGGACAACGCGCAGCGATTGGTCTTTGCGCCGAAGAGTGGGGAGCCCCACTGCTGCGCGCGCAGTATTCTTAACTTTGACACCGATAAAACACTACTTTAGACTCTGTTTAGAATAATATTCTAATTTCTAGTAATTTATAAATAAATGTTAATCTTTCTTCAATATTAAATTATTATATATTATTATCAGTAATATGAAAATTTTTAATTGTCAATTGTTGAAATTAAAAAAATTTCATTTTAATTATTGCATTCTGTGAATCGTTCTTAGAGGATCTTGGCTAACACGTAGCTTTTGGGGGTATCTCCCTCACAACTGCTCACCGCAACTATAACTGCGAATAACCACTGCCTTACCTGGTGTCTGTCTATTATTATTATTATTATTTAAAAAAAATTTATTTTTCTATTTTTTTATTGCGATTATTCTTGTAAATTATTTATTTAATTTTTAATTAGTACTATTGTCAGTATTTTTTAGTATTTTATTATCAGTGATTTTTACAATTATCAGTCACTTTTACTGTCCATGATTTTTTATCACTAATATTATAAATTATTTTTTACTGCTATTATTATCATCCTCATCAGTATTGTTTTTTTTTTTAAGTCTATATCGATTGCAAATATAGTCTACTTTTTTCGTTATTGAAATATCACTATATATTTATTATCACTATATTATAATGATTAATCGTTTTCTGTTTGTCACGATAATTATAAATGTATATTGTTGTCATGATAAACAGTTTCTCCTAATTATTGTGCAAATGATCCTCTCACTTGAATATTATATATATATATATATATCTATTTCCCCTTAAAAAGAAAAAGGCCAAGCACGCTTATCAAGTTAAATATTAATTCTTATGAAAAGCTATTTACTAAACGAAATTTTTATTAGTCGAAGAAAAATTTTTTTTTATAATTAAATAAAAAATTCAATTTTCTGTAAATTTTCAAATTTATTCAAAAAAAAAAGTAAAATTTAGAAATTCAAAAAAGTTTGAGTAAAAAGCTTTTTGAAATGTCATACTGCCAGTTTACGTATATCATGTCATATATATTTCTCAGCTGCTTTCTTATTGACACAAATAAAAAAAAATTAATTTTGAAAAGAAAACTGTGTTTTAAAAAATGAAAAACTAAATAATCGCTCTGGAGGAGGTATAATTTCTCTTTTTCACATTAATACCGAAATATCAAAAGTTAATTAAAAAAAAGTGTACCAATTTCATAAAATTTTCCATCATTATTGCGTTAATGATCTTTATTCGATTTATGGGAATTCATTTCTTTATAAAAAAAAAAATTCACTTCACATCTATAATTTAAATACTAATTTTTTAATTAGCAAATATTGTCACTGACTATAAATATTTTTTTTTTGTTTTATAAAATTTGTTTTTACTAACAAAAAACGCATTTTATCGGGAATCAATTAACAGTGCTTCAGCAATTTTTTGTAAATATTAAATTCAATGCTTGTTGACGAAAAAAAAAAGTCCCATTCGACTTGCTTTTTAATTCAATTTCAATGAGCAATTGATTTTATAGTATACTTGGCGAACTTAATTAATCAATATTATTTCAACATTTAAAATTCTCTGTACAATTTCACAAACTATTTTTCAAATCTAATTTTCAATATCTGTTTTTAATTATAAATTAATTGAATTTAAAAAATTTTACTTAATAATTTTTAATTCAAAAAAATGTTAATTTTTGGAAATATTTAAAAAAAAAAACAAATTTTGTAAAAACAACTTTTTAAATATTCTCTTCTGCTTTACATTTTTATTATCGCTTTGACAATTTTCATGGAAGTTTAATTTCTTGGATGGAAAAAAAAGAGGGTTGTAAAAATATAAATGACACCCAAAAAAAAAAATCTATTTCATCAAACTTGAAAATATTATTTTTGCTCCGCACTATCCGCGCGAACTTATATATAAGAGAATAAAATACGTCATTTTGTATTCTGGTTTGGAAAAAGTTTATCCAACGATTTCTTCAGTTTCTGAAACTTATCTTGTATATATAGCTATATATATAGAGAGAGAATGGAGTTCTTAACTTTTGAAATTGTTTTATGACCACACTCACGGGATTCATAGATTTTCAATAGCTCGAGCCATTGAGAATGGACCAATCCCCTTTTGTTATGTTATCCGGCAAAACAATTCGTACATTTAGTGTCATTATTTATAGATTTCGAAGGAAGAATTTCATTTCCTAAATAGTTTTCTACAGTTACGAGGGGAGAATTTTTTTTTTTTTTTATAACATTTTTTTCTCCCTTATGATAATTTTTTTTTTTTATTTTACACATAAAGTTTTAATAGAAACAGAAATCTGAGGGGGAAAATTAAATAAAAAAAAAAAAAAGAAATAATAATAAAATAACATAAAAAAAATAGGAAGGAAAAGACAGTAAAATTTAATATGAATAATGAATAGCAGAAAATAGCGAAAAAATAGTATTCGTATTTTGTACTTTTAGTTTTTATAGAATTTTAATTTAATTTTAAACGACTTGAAATTACGTATTCTGGCAGATGACATTTCATTTTTTTTTTTATTACAGCTCAAAATACTCGAGCACAAAATCATATAATCACGTTTGCTTGCATTTGGAAGCTTTTGAGGCACAAAGTACAGTTCCACAAATTAATTTCATTGAAAATGAAAAAAATAATAATTTTATACAACCAATTTCCAAAATTAAAAATAAAAAACGAAATTACAGTAATAATAAGTGATTTTAAAATGAATAAAAAAAAAATTAATTTAAAATACTAAAAATTATAAAAAAATCATTCCCTCTGCTTCAAATAGCTTATTTTTCTTTCCCCCCCTTTTTTTTGGTCTTTTTCACCCCCCTCTCCCCATAGCATCGAAACTTTTCTAAAGATTTATTTGAAATGTTCGGAATATTTAATTGCAATGTTTAGTAAAAATTGTCTAAAGATTTAAATGTCCCGCACTTGAATAAATGTACAGGAAAGTTTCACACTATAAACATTTATTTAATCGGGACATTTGAATCTTTACACAATTTTCACTAAACATTGCAATTAAATATTCCGAACATTTCAAATAAATCTTTAGGAAAGTTTCATTGCTGTGAGGGACTATATAGTAGATTAAATCCTCAATCTTTTTTTTTCCCCATCATACATTAATGAAAATAATTTTTTCTAAATAATTTTCAAATAATAAAATCGGTTATGGAGTTTTTTTTTTAATTTTCGTTTCAAAAAAAAAAAAAAAAATGTTGAGCACGAGCTTTTTTTTTCTTATTACATATATAAACAAACGCTATTGTTATGGTTGCGGAGTCGCAGTTGATCTAGTGTTGAACTTATTTGCAGTAGAATACATTACTTTTGAAAGCTTACGATTTCCCAGTACCTATATTAAACGTACTTATTAATTATTATTATTATTATTATTATTATTATTATTATATGTACGATAAACGCGCCGATGATCGCTTGACTCGTAAGCCGCCTATTGGTACGCCCATGTGATTCACCTTTTTTTCGTAGCTTTAGTAGTGAGTGGATGTGTGTGTTTCAGTCGAAATCACATGAGCGAAGCAATTGGCGACGGTCGACGTTCGGCGACATTTAAAAAAAAAAAGAAAAAAAAAAAGAAAACAAATTGCTTGGGTGATAAAAGAAATCGATCAAATAACGCCATATATATATATATATATCTATATACATACATATCCTAAATGATTCATGTTTTCACTTCAATAAAACGGATATTTCCGATTCGTCTCTGTTTTCACGTCGCATGGTGCATTGCAGCTAAATTGATTATATTATCTCTTTCATTGATTACCGTTCTTTTCTTGATTACTACATTCTTGTTTATTAACATGAGAGATTATTATTTAAATTTTAACTTGTTGTTTTTTTAAAATAATTATATTTTTTTGATTTTAAGCACTATTTTCCGGGTAAATTTCAAAGAAATGTAAAAAACGAAAAATTACTTTAAATTTTGGCAAAAAAAAATTTAGAATGATAATTAATTAAACTCAACGGACAACTTAAGAAAAAGATATTGTCTTATATTTTTATATTTTGTACTCTTCTATCACGAAAATTCGAATTATAAATATTTCCTATTATCGCCTAATTTATATATTTTTTTTTATCAATTTTTATTAATTACAGCATAAATTCATTTTACAAATATTATAATTAAGGATTACGTACTGTAACGATTGTTATTATTGTGGCAATTATTATTATTATTATTAGAATTATGATATATATATAAAATATACGGTATAAAAATCACCCAAGCACTGAACCCCTTCTCCCGGGCCATTATTTGCATGACCAGACTCTGTGTTTGTAGCAAATTATCTCTTACGCAAGTGCAAGAATTACTTATATATATATATATAAATATATTATTATTATTACATGAGAAAAATTTAATTTGACATAATTCAGTATAAATGACGCTTTTCCGGCAAATACGGAATCAGAAGATTGTCGTAACTTGAGAAAAAAAAAATTCAAGTTACTAAATAATTTTTACGTGATTCTGATTTTTTCCAAATACATATTATTATTATTATTATTTGCACGCTTCTATGGTGAGCCTATGGTATATATATATACTTTTTTGCGCGATGAATCTTTCTCTATTTTTTTTTATAAATCTCTGTCTGGTAGGTTGTTAACGCTTTTAATCTAACTTTTTTGCTAACACGACCGATTATTATTATTATTACCATTTCCGGAGTTCAATGTTATTTATTTCCTATTTGCTGCATATTTATTATTGTCTTTTTATCATATATATTTCGCCCTTTTTTGTTAGATTTCTTGTATATCATTATATACAACGGTTTGTTCACATATTACACATTGACACACATTTTTTTTTTGAGTCGCGTGTAAATAAAAAAAAAATAGAATCGATATTTTAAAAAAATTATTCTAAAATAGAAAAGTTAGTAGAAAAAAATTTTTGTATTTCGCGCACGCTATTAATGCATTTACGGCTTTTTTGTATTCTTATATTACAGTTATTAATCGTTTTCTGTGTCATTGATATATTTTTTTCAGCTTTCAAACTCACTTTGGTTTTTTTATGTTTATGTATAGTTTTTTCTTATTTTTTTTTCGTTTCTTTGCGCATATTATTCATTTTCGTTTCGGCCAATCGAAAATGCATTTCAATACACGCATTTAGTAATTTCACATATGTATACACATACACATTTATCAATTTTCTAAGTTTAGAGCCATCGTGTTTGATTGGCGGACGACATAAAGCGATATAGCAAAAGAACCCAATCGGTTTTCGTTAATTTTTTTGCTCCCGTTTTTTCTTCATTGATTTAAGAGAATAAAAAAAAAAAAGAAGCGAGAAAGAGAATTATTAACAATCGGTTATTTCTCTTCCCAGTTGGTATATGCTATATGGCCCGTTGAGAAGAGGGCTTCCATACACGCGTTTCGCAAATTAATCTCGCGGATTATTAATTTAATTACCTTTATTACACTTGCATCGAAATTCGATCACAATTGTTCACTCATTTAAATATTTCAATTTAAGTTATATTTCTTTAGAAAAAAAAAATTAATATATAAAAGGGAAACATTAAACATTTTCTTTACGGAACTATGGCACTTAAAGTACACTTTTTTTAGAAAGATGTTCATATTTAGTTTCTTTTGAGGTTTTTTCGATATTTATAAATTACGATTTATCTTTATAAGGATAACTTTTTTCTTCTTCTTCATACCCTTCGGCTGTATCTAAAACAAAAATTACCAAAATTTAGTAGAGTATTTGCTATCTTTGTAAAAAAATAATTTCAGTTTTTAATTAAATGCTTACAAAATTCAGTTTCTATTGGAACAATTAAAAAATATTCTTAATTAATTAAATTTTTCTTTAATTTCAAATCTATTTTTTTAACTATTAAAAAAAGAAATTATAAATTAGTAATTGAAACCCCCTTTGCTTTTTTTTCGTAACAAATCTGGAGGAAATAATTAGGTAAATTTATTTGTTGAAGAAGGAAAAGCTCGTTAGTTTTTAAAGAGTAAATGAAGGCATGGAACATGATTTTAAATTAATTAAAAGTTTCCGACGCCTGGGCGCCTCTCTCTCTCTCTCAGCGTCCCAGTGGCCTGTTTTCGTAAACCGCATATTTCCGAACCTCAGTGCCTCAACCTCAGCAGTGACTGATGTCTCTCAGTCTTGGCAGTCTAGTTCGCGATATTCAAACGCTTGGCATTGTAAACTCTCAATGCCTAGAATTCCAACCTTTGCTCTTCTGACATCTGGCGTGCTAAAGCTTGACATTCCAATGACTAGTGCTTCTTCAAAGTTCAACACTTTAATACTTTAGATAATAATAATTCGATATTTCCAAAAGTTTCACTCCAGTTTCTCCCTTAGATATATAGAATATGACTATCTAATTTTCAAATCGCTTCCCATAAATAACTTCAGAAAAACTTTCAGCATTATCCAATATACCTAATAAATCATTATTTTACGAAACTTAAAAAAAAAAATTTTCAAACAGTATTTTTCATTTCTAATTAAACATATTCTTTATTATTATTAAAATTATTAGTATTAAATATATTTCTTATTATATAACCGATTTTTTTTTAAATTTATGGTACAGTGGGACCATGAAAAAATGTTAGATTTTCTCAGCAAGTGTAATAGATTAAAATTAATAATTTAGGGATAAATTTGCGAATCGAGAATTTTTTTTTTTGTTTATAGGCACGTTCCTTTTGCATTTTGAGTTGGGTTTAGAATGTGACGCAAGTAGCATAAAAAAAAGATATTTTCTTACGATAAGTATAGCATTTCACAAACAAGACTTATGATTTAAAGAAAAGAAAATTTTATTTCATTTTTTAAAAAAAGATCACAAGTCTGAAAAAATGAAAGGAGCCTGAGTTTTCCCATAGAATTGCAAATTTTTAAATAATAAAAATTGAAGAGAAAGATTATTTTACAAAGAAAAGTCTAGGCAATACTCCCCTTAAAAAAAAAGAAAAAAAAACGTTCTACTGCAAATTTACCTCCAAAACTGTCGTACGAATACACACTAATAGTCTCTAATTAACAGTATTTATTCTAAATCACTTATTTCACAACCAATTTGAACATATTGGTAAACTTTGAAATTAAAAATTCCAACTGTTTAAAATGAGAAAATTTAGTTGAGTATTCGAACGCCCCTAGCGGTAATTATTACCTACCTTTATAATATATCCGTATTCGGTCCATATTTTATAGAGCATGAGATGTAAGACGTGATGATAATGCTCTAACAAACTGGAAATGTATATTTTTTTTTTCATTTTTTTTTTCTGAGAGAGAATGAATTGAAGGGGGAAAGAGTAAACTTGCGAGAAAAAATATTTTTTTAGTAATTTTTTTTTGTCTGAACGATTCTTGAATCTGAGAGTGGAAGTTGAACGAGAGAAATAAAAAAAAGATTGCAAGAACTGTGTTGTTGAGGTAAACATTAAAAATAAAAATGTGAATACCATTTTACAATGATGCTGCCATATTTTCTTTCAGTTACTGGACACCCTCCCGGTGTGCCAAGATTTTAATCGACAACTCTGCAACCGTCCCGCCTGCAAATTTATTCACCTTTATGATGGTAAGTGCCACTCGTTTTGCGAAACGCGCAAGATTGTAAGAGATTTCTCCCTTTCTTTTTCTTAGTACTTTTTTTTATATAATCAAGATTTACATTTAAAAGGAAAAGTGATAAGTTACGAAATAGAACTAAAATTAACTCCCACTTAATTGTTTTTCAAAGAATATTATAGGAAATGTAAATGTTATTTTTTACTAAACTGTAAAAAATTATGTTTTTTTACATTCTTATCATATGAGAAATGCAGCAGAAGGAGGTTTAAATAAAAATGAGTTGGCATTTAAAAATTCTTTTTGATTATGGTTCTTAGACGAATAAAAAAAATATTTCTCAATAGGTTTTAAAATCAAGTTTAGGTGCTCGATTTAAAAAAAAAATTGACACTTTTTACAAAATCAGCCAAAATCCTTATCTTATAAATTTCCTAAATCCAAAAGATTATGGTAATCCATAGAAAAACGTGATTGCAAAACGAAAAGTTAAAAAGTAATCTAAGCTGCGGCTTTATGCTCCCTGCATACTTCTGCCATCTGACGGCGGCAGGAGGTAATTAACCTGTCATTATATTACTTTCCTCCTTTTCGTTTTGCAACCGCGTTTTTTTATGAATTCGCACAATCTTTCGTATTTTTTCGTATCTTTGATACTTTTGTAAAAAGTGTCCGTCATTCGAGAAAAAAGAATTCTAAAATCAATGTTTATCATTTTCACGTTCAGTACCGTTTTTATAGGGCGATAATTAAAGGTCTCTTTTTTTGCCAAAGAATTTCAAAAAACCGTTCGACTTTCTTAAATAAATTTTGTTCCTCCTAAAATCGTTCTTTTAATATTAAAACTTAATTTTTTCAAATAAGACACAAACACTACAGCAATATAATTATTTATATGTAAAATTGAAAATAAGTAATTATTTTATTATTTATTACAGTATTTATAGATTAAATAAATTCTGATTCCCATAAGACACTGTTTTTATATAAAAACGTAATTTTTTTTTAAATCAGACACGAAAATTGATTTTAAAATCTATTGAGAAATATTTTTTATTTAACCATAATCAAAAAGAATTTTTAAGTGCCAACTCATTTTTATTTAAATATCTTTCTTGAGCACCGTGAAAGTATTATGATAAGGTAGCATAGTTAAGAAATCTTTAAATGACTTTTTTTTGTCTAAAGCAGATAACACAGCACCAAAAAAAAAAATTTTTTGTCCGACGAACTAGACTAGTCATTTCTTACGTATTTTGGGTCACTGAATCCGAATCCGGGGTCAGAATTCATAAGTTGGTTCGTTTTTTCTTTTTAACCTCAAAAAACTTATTTTTTCGGTACATTTTGTGAAACAATGAAAAAGCGTAACCTATTTTTGAAATTATGACCATGGATTACAATTTAGAAGTTAAATTTACTTACCACTTGAATGGATTCTTTAAATTAAAAATGGCGGATCCAATATGTCGGATATTTTAAAAATTGTTCCGATTCGCTCGAAATTTGATACTTGGGGGGTTTTTTAGGTCGCTGATTACGACTCTGGCGTCAGTTTTAAAAAATTAAAAATGGCAGATCCAATATGGCGGATATTTTATAAATTGTTCCGATTCGCTCGAAATTTGGTACTTGGGGTTTTTTTTGGGTAGCTGATTACGAATCTGGCGTCAGTTTTAAAAAATTCAAAATGGCAGATCCAATATTGCTGATGAGAAATGTAAATTTAGTACATGGGGGTTTTTCTGATCGTTGATTGCAAATAAAAATTCAGATTTTTGTAATTTTAAAATAGGGGGTAACCTTACATGGAGAATGGAATTTTTTTTAAATTTATATGATCCGCTGCAAAATTGACACACAAAAAGTTTTCAAATCAAGGATTGTTCAAAAATTTTTTTTCATGGGACTGTGTAATTAAATGACAAAATGTTTAGATGATATTAAACGTAAAGACATATGAAAATGTCCCCTTTTTTTAAGAATCAACCATATAATGAAAATTTTTGATAAATATTATATATAATTTTGTTTTTTTCTTTTAGGAAACGTAGAGGTAATAGAGAATCGTGTAACAGTATGCAGAGATGCGGTTAAGGGCGCGTGTTTGCGGCCCCAGTGTAAATATTACCATATACCGGTGGCCTTGCCTCCGGCACCCCTATTGGCTGTCAGCACCTCTGCATCTACCTAGTAACTTGTTCTCGTACTCACGATCTCATCCATCGTCGACGAAGAGTTACAAGAAAAAGCAAAAAAAAAAAAAAATTTAAATAAAGAAAAAAGTCAAAAGAAAGGATCGAAGAGGATATATTTCTGCCCGCTCAAAAGGATCCAGAAAACAAAAAAAAAACCTTGGCTGTCGAAGACGCGAACAATCGCAGTAGTTAGTATAGACTATAAAAGCGAATCGTCATGTCACCTTTCAAAACTTGACATGCGTGCAGAATTCGTCGAAAGAAATAACTGAGGTAGAACGCGATAATAAATAATAAAACGCGAATGCAGGTGCTGTTTCACGGAACGAACTACTAAAAAAAAAAAAGCCTATTATATATATATTTTATAACGAATAGATTATTTTTTTCCTCATTCTTCTTTAAAAAAAAACAATTTTATTTATTTTCAATTTTTTTTTTCACTAGCAATTTTAAGTTCAAAATTTTATTTTTTGTTTTCAATATAGAAGAACGAGGAAGAAGGAAAAATCTTTTTAAACTTTGGCCTCGCGATATAGTCGATAGAAAATATAGTTTTTTTTTTAAAATAACAATTGCCATTTTGGATTTTATTAATTTTGATAAATATCATTTTTTTTTTTTTTTATTGCAAAACGGAAATTTTCACGTCTTCCTGAATATTTTCAACTTTTGCGAACAAAACAAAAAAAAGAATAGTCCTAGCTTCCAGTGACTTTATTGACTGGTTTAATAATAATTAATTTCTATCCCTCACGTTATTTCTCGTGATAATAATTGATATTATGGCCAATTAGATCCGTTAGATTTAAGAAATATTTTATTTGTGATTTTATTTCATTTAACTTTCTATATTTTAATTTTTAAAAAACCTTTTCGGTTTTTCTACTATGTCGAGTGATTTTTCTCTTCTTCTTTTTATTTGTTAGTTGCAAGTAATGTGTATAGATATATTGAAAATCGACTTTTATACTAATAAACGTTAACAAAATATTTTATACGCGATCTTCAAGCGAAACGAAAGTTCACGTACCTTGAGTTAAGTTAGTCCTATATATATATATATTTAAACGTTCGTTAAGTGTGTCTGATTTATTCAAGTCATTTTATCCCAGTGTTCATTTTCCATCATGTTTTATTATTATTATTATTATTATTATTATTATTATATTATATATAGAAAAAAATTGTACAATTTCAAATTTTCTCATTATAGAAATGTGTACAAGTTTTTTTTTTATTATTACAAAATTTGTTTAAGTCGAAGTTTTATTATATTATATTATTATTAGAAATTTATAAGATTTTGAATTTTAATAGATTTAAGAATGTTTAAATCGTTTATGTATATATAAATTCAAAAAACGAGAAACGATTTTTCACGAAAAATAATAAAATAAATAATTTTAAATAATTTCATTGAGTAAAATTTTAAATATTTTTTTCTGAAAATTGTTTCTTTTAAAAAATTTTTCAATATTAAAATCAATTTAGATTTGGAAAATTTTTTTTATTCTTTTTTTTTTTAAATAACAAGAGCGCATCAACTTGACCTCGTCGATTTTGATGAAACTTACAACAATGATAGAACTTGGTATTGTATTGTAAGCACTAGCGTAATTGTTATGGTCTCTGACTGTAGTCCTCAACGTCGAGGGTTCGATTCTTCTCGCTAATATATTTTTTTTTTTCAAATAAAGTAAATTTAATTTAAAACAAGAAAAAATGAATAAAATAAACAATAAATCTTTGATTAAATATTCTTAATACTTTTTATTTTTTTTACCAGAATTAAAAATTTTTTTCAGTAGAAAAAAAAGAAATTAAAAATACAAAAAATATAGAAAAAAAAGTATGTGAGAGAAGATTCGAACCCTAGACGTTGGGAACAGCGGTCAGTCACCTTAACAACTGCGCTATTGCCTAAAGAGAGAATTTAAAATCTCATTTTCTCGAAAATTTCTTCATAGTGGGCTTTTATACTTCACCCCTATGTTCCTAATACCGAGATCTATTACAGTTTCAATTTTTATCAAAATCGATGAGGTCAAGTTGGTGCGCTCTTTTTTGTGGAACCAAAAAAAATTACACATTATCGAGAGAAAAATCATTTTTCGTATTTTTTCACTAGAAAAGGAATCGTAATTTTATTTTTTTTTCCCCCTAATTATAAAGAAGTAATTAATTTAATTTTTGTTTTCGATTCACTCTCTCTAAGAATTAAATAATTCTTCCATAAATAAAATGGAAAAATTGATTAAAACCGTAAAAGACGATTTTAATATAATCTGATGGAAAGTGATTTTTTTTTTTTTTCAAATGAATGTTAAAGTTTGCTATCTTAAAGTTCATCCGTGAAAACAGACGACCCTGGACTCGTTCCTTATTAAATTTTCAGGGACATCATCGCGCGATGTAAAATAAAAAAAAAAAGAAAAAATTTTTTTTTTTGGGATCGTTGAGAATCATAATAGTTTCCAGGCAGACGGCGCATATACATATATAAATATTATAAATAAATATATTATATATATATGTTTGTATGCACATGTGGACGCGAAAAACGTGTTTCACATCAGTTTTGACGCGTTCGTATGCGCGTACCATGAAATTATTATTAATATTGTATCGCATAAGTAGGATAGCTAGGGCTCAAGGGCCAACCAACGGATGACGAATGACTGATTTATTGACGCGATCGTGATGAGAATTATATTATTATTATTATTATTATTATAATGACAATTTCAACGAGGGGATTTGAAAAAAAAAGATTTTATACTTGTGTAAAACAAAAGAAAAAAAAAACTTGATCAAATATTTCGTTTGTTTGTTATTTATTTTATTCGAAAAGAAAATTATTATTCATGAGCAACGTGTATAAAAATAAACACCACTATAGAATTAACCGTTAATTTCTGTCATTTCATGAGGCAAAAATCTCATTTGGATATTGACAAAAAAAAAATTTATTAGATTATAGAAAAATTTTTTCGTTTAGAAAAATTTCGTTATTTTGAAAAAATTATTTATTATTTAAGGATTAGAGGCAATTTGTAAAGAAAAAAATTTAGTGCAATCGTTTTTTTTATTTTATATAAAAAAAAAAGTTAAGTTTTGTAGATTTTTGCGAATTGGAAAGACAGAAATATTAATTCTCGGTTAATTAATAGGGTTCATTTTATATATGATCAATGAATGTGAGATTAAGAGGGACAGATTTTTTTTTTTTTATAAAGCCGTCCAAGTTTAAGAGCAACAGTTTCATTTTGGAAATTTATTTTCAAATCGGATAGTTAAGAGAGTTTTAGAGATTTCGATTTTTTCTTGGATAACAAAAATTTTTTTTTATTCAAGAAAGTGGCATCTACGAAAACTAAAAAAAAAAAAAAAACTCGATGAATTGGTTATTATGAATGGATAATTTTTAAAGATGTAATAGTCTTGAATTGTGATAATAGTCTGGAATAATTTGTAAAATGCAATAATGAATTTGAATCGATTGTGCTTATAATGTCAAAAAGGAACTTGCAAGTTGCTCTTTATACAGACGCAATATGTATGTATGTAAGTGTAATGATAAAACGTATGTGAGTGCGTGTGTGTGTGAGAAAGAGAGAAAGAGCGATAGGGAAAGCAAGACGAAATAATAATTAACGAACAAAACAAACGAACAAAAAAAAAAAAAAAAAAAACTGAAAAACACCAGACATTAGGCATTGAAAAAAAAAATCTCCCGGATCGGGAATAAAGCTTTATGACGAGGCTTTCAGCCCTTTAAACTTGTGTCTCACTCTCAGCGTCAAGAATTTGTCTATAAATTACAAAAAAAAAAAAAAAAAAAAAATGAAAAAGTGCTGAAAGCTCTCGTCTGGCGACTGTACTATTCAAAGAATAATAATAATATATATTATATAAATAAATAAATATATATGTAATTAAAAAATTATATTTAACTATAAAAATAGATTTTCAAAGAACGGTATTAATAATTAACTAGAAATGATAGGTGCGAAGTTTTGACACTTATTCAAACACGACTTAATGAAGAAAATAAAACGCGTAAAAAAAAAAATAAACTCATTGTAAGAAACTGCTTCTGAGAAAGAAAAAAAGGAAAATGAATTTAAAATTCTCATAAACAGTTTGACTGTCTTACGTGAATAATTGAAAAAAAAAAAATTTTTTATATAAGAATATAATTTGTAATAATCGTTTTAACTCTGAGATTATTGATATATACACAAAAAAGTTAGTTTCTTCCGTCGAAGACTAGATTTTGACGTCGGTCCCTTCATTTTCACGTAGATAAACTTAAACGAATTTTTCTATATCTCTTATATAGATAAAAAAATATCGATTGTATTTGATAGAGAAAAGATGATGAGAATGAAAGAAAAATTCTAAATTTTCCAATTGAATGACAAAATACAAAAAAATAAAATAAAGCCAGGTGATTATCATTTTAATACCAGGGGAATAGAAGAGATTCTAGCAGTGGAAAATAAAAAAAAAAGAAATAATTTTATTGCCTAATGATCTGTGATTAAAATGTAAACGATATTCAACGAGTTTCATTCTACTAGAGAGGATTTAAAAAAATAATAATAATTAACCTGACATGAATAATTTTTTTCTAAGCAGGTTATTTAAAAACCAATTATTATTTATTGGAACACACAATCAACCGTCCATGAAAATCTCAAACATTCCCCTGGTAAAAAATGAGCAAAAAAAAACAAAAATTATTCAACAGACTGCGAGTCAAAGTTTTCCGTATTTTTAGATATTATGCGAAAAAGAAAGATGATGATGATGATGATGAAGAAGAAAATGTGACAAATTTAACTAGTCATGAACGATAACGTTAGGGTTCTCCGCGTTTCGATTAATTATTCGATTGGTTTTCCTATTCATTCTACGATAACATAATTACTCGAATGCACCCTAGACGTAATAATAAAAAAAAACTGATTCTAGTTAACAAATTAAAATATAGCGAGATTAACAAGTAAAAAAAAAACAAGTAAATGTTCCTGTACAGCATTTAAGAATCAAACGACACCTCATCAAATCACAAAAAAAAATGGAACACTTGGTATTTAAAGGGAAACGTAATTTCCACATTTTTCAAAAAGTACCTCTATTGAGCAATTTTTAGCTAGACTAGTTTTAATAAATTAAGTAAAATTAAAGTAAATTACAATTTTTAGATAGATTATTACAAATTTCATTATAAACAAACAGCAAAAAAAAAAAGTAAAAGATTGAAAAAGGACATCGATAATATCAAAGTTCAGAAATTGAGATTATATAAGTATAGTACAAGTTTGATATATATTGTAATATTATTCGGAATCTAGTTCCCTCTTAATACCAAATCCACACTCTCAGTACATTATAAATAATATAGTTAACAAAAATTGAAATGAATTAATACTCATGTGAATATAAAAAAAAAAATCCTTCAAAATATGCACCTTTTGGAATCTATTTTCAAGCCGAGAAATGTTTATGTGCCTAAAAAGGCGAAAAAAAATACTTTTCATAAATATTGGAACAATATCAAGTGAGCAGAAAACGTAAAACCGAAAACAAGCAACAAATATGAGAGTGAAAAGAATAGTAATATTCTGTTTTAGAGTCAACGCACAATAGTTTCTTGAAAATCGTTCACAAACGATTACATGAGATAGAAAAGGATACAAATAAATTTGTCCTTTACTAACTCATGATCCATATTCATAAAGTTCTTGAAACTTTTTGTTTTCTGCTCACATAAGGGTACGGTCACACTATATCATGCATGCATGTAGAAACATTTGTCTGGTCACACTTCAATGAAATCTAGTGAATGTTTAGTAATTTTCTAGTAATTTTCCAAAAATTTCGGTTGTAACTAGAAAGTTACTAAACATTCACTAGATTTTGTTGAAGTGTGACCGGACAAATATTTCTGCATGCATGCACAGTGCATGCATGAGATAGTGTGATCGTACCCTAATGGAGAATTTACACCTGCAGTAAATTTTTTTTTTTGCATTTTACAAAATATACAAATCTGGTTAGTTGTCGACAATCTGACTAATTGTGGACAACGAATCAGTTTTGTGGATTTTAGAAAGCGCAAAAAAAAACTTTCAACAGAAGTTGTAAATACACCATAAAGGTACATTTACACCTTTGGTAAAAAATTTTCTTTACTTTGTATTTTCTAAAACACACTTACCTGATTGGTTGTTCACAATGAATCAGATTCTGGACAACCACTCAGGTTTGAGTATTTCGGAAAATGCAAAGTGAAGAAATTTTTTTACTGAAGATGTAAATTAGGTTATGTCCACAATAAGCACCTTAAATGTTAAAGGTCAACGCACAATAGTTTCGCGAAAGTCATTCGCTGATATAAAGCATGAGTTAGAAAAAGACAGAAGTTTATTTCTATCCTTTTCTATCTCATGTATCTCGTTCCCGAACGACTTTCATGAACCTATTGTACGTTGGCCTTAACTTAGCATAACAGTTGGTTTCCATTGTTCCCACGCGTAATTCTCGTCAACTATCGCACTCTGTCCTTATAAAAATTTTGTAACTTTATAGTAACTTTTAATTTTTAACAATAAAGTCACTAAAATTTTACTAGAGCAAGGTGCGGCAGTTGACGAGAATTATGACAAATGGTGAGTGGGGACAATGGAAACCAACCAACGAATACAATAGATTTCTAAGTCTGTGTCTACAGTGGAATTCCTATGTTAACATAACACAACATAACATAACGAAATCAATACATTTTTTTTTATAAATTTTATTGTATTCGTTATGTTATGTTAACATAAGAAACCTATTGTGGACACAGCCTAAGAAATATATTGTATTTGTTTTGTTATGTTAAGGCCAACGTAGAATAGAAACGTAACCGGAATCGTAACCGCAACCGGAATAATGAGTTAGAGAAGGACAAACAAGTCTATCCTTCTCTATCTCATTCTTCCGGTTGCGTTTACGATTACGATTCCAATTACATTTCTATTCTGCTCAGGCCTTTAACATAATAATCCAATTGCAGACACAGCCTTAGGCTGGGTTTAAGGCCTGAGCAGAAGAGAAACGTAACCGGAATCGTAATCGCAAACGCAATCGGAAGAATAAGTTAGAGAAGGATAGATAGATTGTTTGTCCTTCTCTAACTTATTCTTCCGGTTGTATTTACGATTACGATTCCGATTACGTTTCTATTCTGCTCAGGCCTTTTCATGACTGCGTTCGAACGCTATGTTTTTTGTTAAACAATGAATGTAACAAAGATGAAACGATTTAAAAATTTCAAAATTATATTTGTGCTCTCACTAATTTAAGGTTATGTAAGCCTTCTGTTTGGATGGTAACGTTGATTCTGATAAAGTAGAAGATCTGAATTGTGAAATTTGAATTTCTTTAAAATAATATCTTGTTCACTAAATAAATTTTAATTACTTTAAAATACATTTCTCGGCTTGTGATTAGAAATCAAAAAGGTCGAATGTCATAAAAGAAAAAAAAGAAATTGAATAATAAAATTCTTTTACACATCGCGCGGTATTAAATAATTTCAACGTGGACGAAACAGCCCGAGAAACTAATTTTGAGCTTCCTAACTTGAGTCAAGGGTTTTAGCTGTTGCAGCAAAATAATAATTAACAGAGCAGAATTATATACTTTCTCAAGTCAAGAAAAAGCTGACCTTTAAATATTCTCGAGTATATTCTGCCTTTCAGCGGCTTTTGAATAAGTTTTGCGCTGTTGCTTCAAAAAAAAAAAAAATGCTGCTTAACACACACAATCGATAAACAAGTCATTCATTTTTTGTCAAAATGAAAGAATTTTATTTTTAATTTAAAAAATGAAAACAATTTTTTCATATCTGCAAATAATACTTTGTTTCTTATTATTTTGAGGTATTATTGAGGTCTCAGTTCATTCGACTGATGCAACTTCTGACAAATAATAATTATCTTGAATACAAAAAGAAAAGAATTTTAAGAAATATGTTAGACATTTGCATTATCGGTTTTGTGTGTTCGTGCGTGCCCAATATGACCTACCTAGCTTGCGTGCTATGCAATTTTTGCTCTGCTAAGAAAAAAATAGGGTGGAGTTTACAATATGTCGATTAGCTTACTTCGTGGAATATCATGAAAACTTTGTTTTCTTCTTTTGTTTGTCAAAAAGACGTCGATAATCAAGACATGAAAAAAAATTCAATAACTGAATGATAATTATATTACAGGCCGTCCACTGTACCAAGGATAAGCTTATTCTCATTAAAAAAAAAAAAAAAACAAAAAAATGAAAGAAGAGTTAATGTACTAAAACTCTTTTTGTAAACTAATAAAGTTGCCTAACTATTTGATTTTAGGTCCTATTTGTAATCGAATTATCGTATTCGAATACCCAGTGAACACCTCAGTAGTTGCTAGGATTTACAGAATACTAAGATGCAGTCGTACTATATACATATATATCACACTATATATTATATAAATAATATATTTTTGATTTTATTCTACGTAATTCTATTATATTATTAATAAGGTCAAAGACGCTAGTCTACTAGAGAGAGAGTCGCTAAATCCTTGGTCAAGAACTATTTTTTTCATTGAAAAATTAAATACAGATTCTTCACATAATTTCAGATGTTAATAGTTAGTCAATAGTATTTGTGGATGCTTGATGTATCAAACATAACCTCAAACTTATGAATATATAGATAATGAAAACTGTAACTAAAGTAATAATTAATTTTTTTTCCAAAAACTATTTCGTTTTCGACTAAAATGACAATTTTCTTTTAGAAATTTTGTAAAATAATTGTAATTTGGTTCAATTTCAATTCAAAACTACCGAAATGTGCCAGGCGCACTCTAGTGGTGAAAATATGTATTATCAGACGGTATCGATTTCAATGTATTGTTAAGTATACGGAAGTGAACTCTTTCTAATCAATGAAGGCCTGAGCAGAATGGGCCTAAGCAGAATGAAATCTCTAATCGTAAATCTTAAGCTTTTACATGAGAGAGAAAAGGATAAAAGATATTTCTATCCTTTTCTCTCTCATGTAAAAGCTTAAGATTTACGTTTAGAGATTTCATTCTGCTTGGGCCTAATAGAAACGTAACCGGAATCGTAATCGCAAACGCAACCGAAAGAATGAATTAGAAAAGGATAGATATATTGTTTGTCCTTCTCTAACTCATTATTCCGATTGTATACGACCTCTTTCTCTCTCATAGCCTATTTTCGAAATACGACTTCTAATAACTGGATACATAATAACTTTTTTCAAATTTCAAACAAAGATAGTTTGAACAGCCATCTTCTCTAGTCAGTGTTATCAATAATTATTATTATTATGCCCTTAAAAGGCACTAATTAGTTTGAGGTTATGTCAATGTGTCAAACAACTAAAAATGATTAAGGTGCTTTCACACATTCAGATGTTAAAATCTGGTATTCTTTCCCTTGTACCTGTTTTTTAAATAAGTGGTTTCAAAATATAGGAACCAATAAAAAAAAACAAAGAAAAGATAGCATCCAACAATAGGAATTGTCGTTAAAAAAGGAATTTTTTTCCTTTAACTATATATTAATAAAAATGAAATTCTACTTTTATCGACGTCAAAATTGGAATTGATCTACGACAGTAAACTATCGACAAAAATTGTATAACTCGCCCTTGGATTAATAAAAACTAGAAATTAGAAATATAACAAAAAAAGAAAAGCAAACAAATAATGCGTTAATAGATAATGACTTCTTAACTAAGGTACGAAGACTATAATATTTTTCAAATAAATTAATCTCATTTAGACAATTAGTATGACACTTAGCGCGTAGCCAGAATCTAATTTAAGGAAATCTATTTGCATGTCAATGTATTTGAGCTAAATCACAATTTAATCCTTATTCGTAGAGAGCATTTTTAATGGATCGATTTTTTTATATAAATCGATCGATAATAATTTTTCAACGAGTCGTCTCCACTTCGGCCTATAGAAGAGAGAAAAAAAAATAAAATTAAATCCGATTTTCTTTTCGGAACACCACGATTGGTTTCTTGGCCAATCGAATTTTCCTTCGAGAATCGAAAATAATTGTATCGTTAGCAACTTATTAGTGGAAAAAGAAATATATCCTATTTCTCAGGCTTTTAGTTAAAAAAAAAACTATTATATTGGTAGCACAAAACTTCCAAGTTTTTTTTTTTTTTTTTTTTTTAACTTTTTTCAAATCTCCAGTTGATAAATCTTATCACCAAAATGGAGATTTTTCTTTCTTTTGTTTAAATGGCCTCTTGTATTAACAAATAGCCAGTACTAACAATGGAGATGATGTTCCCAATTTTGTGAGACATTATTGGAATGTCCGCTAGGGGAGTAGTACAATTTTTCGCCACTTTGTCTGA